AAAAAAAAAAAAAAAGTGTAATAAAAGTAATTTCTGGTGGGAGCTGTGTTCATTATCACCCACTCTCCCAAATGCAGTATATAAAGTACTTTTCATGGCACCAGCTGACACTATACTGTGCTGGAGTTTGACAACAGTTGGTGGAAAAGACCAAACAACTATACCATGAATCTGTGTCTGTAAATACCTGCAGATGCGGCCAGGAGGCTTCCAGTGTCGGCTCATCTTCCTCTGGGTCAAACTCTGGATTCTCGCTGGGCGGGAGGGTGCGGAAGATATTTACCGAGATCTGGATGGAGAGCAGCGGGAGGGAAATAGGAAGTGGAAAATGGACAGGAAGGAGGGAGAGGGGGATGAATGTGGGTGGAGGGAAAAAAAAGAGATCAGTGAGGCATAAATGACAAACAACATGGTAGTTGTGGATATCCTGGACGTTATTTCAGTGGATTGTATTTAAAAAAAAACTGATTAAAAGAGTCTTAGTCATGACAGTTTGAGAGCGTTCACAAAAGCATTCTTTGACCCATTTTCATACTTGATCCTTTCAGCGTGATGGACATCGCAGCCCTCCTGATAGCTTCACTAATCATCAACATGTATTTGAGGAGATTTGTGTCACCACGCAGCGGCTGAGCTCTCAGGACGGATGCAGGGGGAATAAATGTCACATTTAAAGTTTTTAGGAGTCTTATGTTGATGAAGCAAACAAATTAGTTGCGTTCGGCGGCCGTGAGGCACCATTGTTGTATAATAAATAACAGCTGTTAAAAAGAAGAAGCTGTTGCACAAGATGAAAAATAGCCTTCTTCAGTCGCTGCTTCTTTTTTAGTTTCCAGGCAACTTGGGCCACGTTTGATGCTGTTTGCAGACTGTGTTATGAGAACAACTGATAAGTCATGCAGCGGCTGTGAGCTGCGTCATGATTTATTCAGCGAATGCATTTCCACCGGCCACTTTACTCGCTCATTTTAAGGCCCTGTGTAAATCTGGATTTTAAAAAGGGCTCAAATTATTCACTGCCACTTTGCCTTTTCTGTAATACTTCAGAAACGTGGTTCTCGGGACATTAAAGTCCGGTCAGGTTTACAGGCACCGAAGCTTCTCCTCACTTCTACCTCATCTGACCCGACAGCTCTTCAGTCCACCTTCTGAAAGATAGACGGATATTGTCCAGTCTGCCTCTTAGCTTTTATTATTTCATATTATTATTATATTTCAGTTGTATCTAATGCGCACACTGACACTGATATTAAACACACTGAGCAAATACAGTTTCACATAATTTGGGGAGAATTAGTTTGAGATAGTTCAGTCGCTGTTCACTTTGGGTTCTGTCGTTGTTTTTTTTGCCTTTTTAAGTTGCTGTTTGTGTCTGTTTTCCATCAGTTTTCT